TGCATCAGCATCTCACCTCGCATACACAGAGTTTCGAAATGCTTCGAAATCAGTGGAATACACAATTCCACCAATTCACGATTAACCGTCGCATTGGCAACTGACCACACCTCTGCCACGTTTTCTAGAGAAGCCCTTCAGTCAGTCGGTTGTAACTCTCAGAAAAGCTTCGCCTACCTCGTTCTTAGGAAATCCACACACCACTTGACGATGGTGGTGGAGCAGAGGTTATGTGCTAGGAGGTAGATTTGAGTTACATTTTCTGCAGAAATTGTGATGCTGCCTGTGTACGCGTAGTTGATGGCAGCCTCGACAATACTAAAAGGAGGTTAACAATGGAGAAATTGCACAAGTACTCTTTAGAAAATCGCCTCCATTGAACTGCAATTTCACCCTGTTGAGAGGCTAATTTTTTCATCAAAAATGGAAACGTGGCTGCTACTATCAGTCGGTGTGCCTTTACGGGATTCCCATCCTTTGTCTAGAAGTCGAAGCTTAAATTCCATGTTCGCCAACTTACTGCGATTCGTAGATCAATCAGTTTGCCCTGTTCGCGTAAGAGGCAAAATTTTTGGTCCCTCGATAATATTGCACTCTCATCGGAATACATTACCCTCTCCATTATTTGCTGAAGAATTGTAATGTAAGGGTATGACGCAGTGCCTTTTATGCTTAACACAAGACGCGTGAGATTGGATGAATGCCCACGAAGGTGTCGTCCGTTGAGAGGCCATTGAGCAGCCTTGAAGGGAGCGAAAGGCAGGGTGTGGTGCGTGTAAGATGAGTGTACCTGTGCAAACCGATTAGAGGTAATTAATTTTGTGTTTTGCTTGAAGCTAAATACAATGCTTAGGTTATCGTTTTAACTGCTCGTCTTGGTTGTACAGGCATTTAGAGCTGCGCTTTTGCAACTCTGCTGCGCAGCATGGCCTTCGAGTAATGCCAGTGTACCCCATCCCTTCTGTAACTGGGCACTCCTCTTTTGGCAGCCCAAAACGAGCCCACTCCTCATTGGGGACAGCACCGAAATTGGATGCTTCGTGACAAGTACTTAGGTGATGAAGGGAGAGCACCAGCTGCGGATGTAAGAATTCGTGATGACCCTTAATAGAATGGTTGGAAATGACCCTCGGCTAATGTTCCTGTTCAATCTTCTGCAGGAATGTCTTTAACAAGTAATGTGACATAATTTATGGCTGCAGCTCAACTAGACATGTTTGCTGCTGAGCTGTATACGCTTCATATATGAAGGAGTCCGTTAGTTGAAACATTGACACGCGCATAAATTCGGCGAATAAACTCTCAAAGATGCTTGTGCTAAATCATCTTTCCTAACGATTTGATTCATTAAATCTCCGCTATAGTGGCCTCTTAACTTCCTTTCCTCATTCACCCACCTTACGATTTTTCCATAGGCTTTAACCTGACTTTTCTGTAATTGGTTGGTTAAAGCTTGGTCTCCACGAATCACTTTAAATTTTTCTGATTTGGCTTTTAGCCTTTTACCCACGTTTCAAACAATAAAATTGAAATTCTTTCCCCTTATAAGCTTATGTGTGATGGGTAATTCTACACTTCATTGTCAGGAATGGCAATCATTCTTACATTTAACCAGAGTAGAAGAAAATAGGACTTCTTTACTCCTATACACTTAACGTCAGGTGGACATAGCCAGTTGTAGATAAATGTATGCAATGTGTATTAGTCGAGAAAGACACTACACTGAATTTTTTTATTTGCCTAATCTATCTCTGCATTAGTTAAGGTTTTGCCTTCAAGCTGACAGTAAGGTCAAAAGCATTCCACATCTACCAACTCGTGGATCACTTGTAGTAGATGCGTTGAATGCAAGTATCCACAAGGGTGATTGGTGTGCTTGAAGTGATCCACTTGAGATGTGAGTGAGCTTACAGAGAATGCGAAATTCAATTAGCGTCACCCAACCGCTGGAGGAGTGTGATGGTTGCCTACAAAGTGAGGGAATGACGAGAGTCAAATGTCGACACAAATGGAGAGAGTAACCAAATTAGAGGTGTGCAACTCCTGTGCGTAGGCTCTTAGGCACCAGAGGCACTGAGCAATCAATTAACGACGAAAGTTCTTGAGAAAACACCCAACTCCATTGTGTTAGCACCGCTGCGGCATCATGCATCACTATAATTGCATTAGGATTGAACTATTCTTCTGCTTCTACCATTGCTACTAATAGGGAATTTGAATGCATTAGGTGTGTGAGGACATCTACCAATATGCTCCGCTTGTCATCTTTGCTCTCTGTTGTTGGTCTCATTCCGACATCATGTATCACGGATGCTTCATTAGGATCCAAACATATCTGCATATCGTATTAAAACAAAGAGTAAACACAAACAATTTGCTGATTAATGAAAGATAATATTGTTTTCATTTCATAAAAACATCTGCCATCAAATTGCATTGGGTGGAAAACGCAATTGTATTGAGGACCATTGTGCGAGATCACCACACCTAGCATTTGTCTCACTCTCAAATGCCAACAAATGGGTAAAGTATTGAACCACTGCTACATTTGCGATGGCGTCATTCCACGTCCTTCTTACATGCGGATGTGCGGTTCCTGAATGTGGCTGGTAAATGCATATAAAGCGATTGTAATACGATAGTGGTTTATCCATCGGTATTGGTGAGGCGCGACTATTGTACTTTGAATTAGCTTCTTGTACCTCGCTGGATAGGCTGACTTTTTAGGCCATGCCAATAGCCCAGACGCCTTCTCTGCGCTGAATATATATTCTGTATGAGTATTTTGTCTTCTTTCGTCTTCAGGGAGTCCCGAGGCGCTATACGATGCTAGCCTCGATCCCTGTGGAAAAGTTTTCTGCACAACCGTCTAAGAAAAAACAATTTTATATTTGAATTTATATGTTCTTTTCTTTTGACTAAGCAGTGTTTTTTTTTGCATCTTTTCATTTATACATGTAATCTTTCTTTTTTACGCTTTTTGTGTGGAGCGAGACTCCTCGGTCTCCGCTTCCCGATCCCTAGCGTTCCTAGACAAGCCCGGTTGGTTTACTTTGGACATCTTTATTAAAGACGACAAGATGTACAGGGAAAATACAATATTCAAGAAGGAGGGGAGCCGCAGTCGCTAGGTAAGGGAGAGGGCGATCCAGTTACCAGGTTCGAATTTTCTGCTTCCCTCCTCCCTGAAAGGCACATTAAAACAACATAAGTATTACATTTTGCGCGTTAATATATTAATTAAAAAAATTTTGCTTTTTATCCTAACAATTTTTAAATAATTTTTTGTAAATTAAAATCGTATTTTTTGTTTGTTTATATTGTCAAGTTTGAGTCCATTGGTTGGTTGCTGTGTATATCGTCTATCGGTTTTGTGAGTTATTCGGTGATTATGGTAGCACCACAATTTCAGCTGGACAGGGACAAATTGAAATATAATGAGAAAATTTGTTAAACTCTTGACCCTGCTTCTTGTTTAGGGTCGTTTGAAAACTAATTTAGACCCGAATATATGTTTCTGGTGTTGAATCTGGTGTGCTTCGAGAGATATTTAAAGAACAATAAGCTCGAAAACTGGGCCTAGCTGTAACTCCGTACCTTAATAAGGTAAGCATCGGCTTAATTTCCTATATTAATGTCTTGTTTTGTGAGTCATGATGGTCTTGGTTTGCGCGTTATAGGCGAGACATCGTTATTACCGATCTTTTCAGTAGCTTCTTCACTATTACATGGTAACGTTTGTATTATTCTAGTTGTTATAATGTCTGTGGTTGTAAAATGTATCGAATACAGCTGCTGAACCCATTGTAAGCGTACTTGAGTGTCCCCCTCTCTGTCAGTGCATTGAATCACATCTTCTGCAACTTTTGCAATTATGATTTGAACAAACGCAAGCCGAGATGGTAATTATTTTCCTACAATCTATACGTCGACGTGCGTTCTAGGTCAATCTACTAAGTTGTTTGGCAGGCTTGTCACAGAATTACACCATGATTGAAATCGTTTCTCTACATCTCGTTGTGTTTTCACAGGTACGGGGAGGTTAATCGGGTCGGAGGTTGTTGGCGCAGCTGCTGGGTGTGTGGAGAGGAACTTCAAATTCGACGTGGAAAAACGGAGCCAATTGTGCAATATGGTGCACCTGTTCTATTCTCGGCGAGTTTGCAAAGGATGCGTATGTCGTCGAGGCTGTGGCGATGGCGAAGTACATTTTGGTGGTTAGTGTTCGCTACTGAATCTTCACTGAAACTGTTGGGATTCTGCAAAGTGTGGTGTGGTGCGGTGATTTCTACGTTCGTGACGTCGTAAGTGGAAAGGACGTGTCGTCAATGCGAATGAAGAGTGCGGATATATGTGTAAGAGGGAACTCGCCGCATTACAATTGTGCATGACACCATATGTATTTGCATAACATTATGTTACGTGTTACGAGGTCTGCCTCCCCCTCTGCCTGTCTAGATGTTAAATGAAGGTTTAGGATAATTCTTCCACTGCCACTGTTGGTTGTTGAAATGCTTTCACTCAGCACTGATATTTGTGAAATGCTGGCAGGATTGATTTCTTGATCATTGGCCTCCACTTATTTCATTGACTGAATTTATCGTTTCTTGTTATCCACCGTGCCTCTTGATTTCCGTTTTCGTTGAAGCGAATAACTGGTGTGTGTGCGCCTATTCCTTGCGTTTTTAGTTTGTTGTCCCGGCTAATTGGGAAAAGATATGTGCAACAGGTTTAGTGTGTATTTGCTTAGCATTTTTAATAACCACGAGTGGGAGTAGTTGTTGGAGTGTTTATTTTAGTATATGCAGGAGATACTGTCACCGGCGGATGAAGCATAGTGGATGTTAATGGAGTGTGACAGCAATTTACATCATAACCCACGTGACTGTCTACAGTGAAATATAAGCCTTGCCTCATGATAAGCGTTTTTTTTTCTTCCTAAGTCATGGTATTAGTTGATGCGCTAGGCGCCGATGCGTCGACTGAGCGCGTTGGTAAGTCTGTATTTAATAACTAGTGTCCACCCTCTGGGGGAAAAATTTTTAATTTTTCATGGAGGTGTAAACACTTGATCTTGTCATGCGCTTGTCTCTCTGATTGACACACACTTTGTCAAGCTTAAAGCTGTCATAATGTGTCGCTAATAGCTTTTCTGTGGCCTCTTCTGTAAAACAAATGCAGTACTCCCCCTTACTTCCTTCTCTGTGGTTGTGGCCGTAGGCGATTGAACGTTCCAAGCCCTCTAAATCTGTCACATTAATCCACTCTATAGAAGGGGGTACTTCTTCTTCCATTCTGGATGCACACTTAGACAGCGGCGGTTTTTAGGCTGTCGGTGACAAGTGATTACCTCACTTGAATTGGAAACACCCAAGACTGGATGGTATTCCGACTCTCGACGTCTTTTGAATAAGACAGTTAATTTTAAATGCCTTCATGCCTTCCTGCTAAGAGGAAAAAGTGGTTCTCCTAACCGCGTGGCATCCCTCCTCGACTGTGAATGAAAAAGGTGGGTTAAAAAGAATTTAAAAAGTACCTGTGTATAGGTATTTCCGGATTAAGTTTTTCCTGACTGAAGTGGCACCCACTTCCTTAATATGGCGGAATTTCTGTACTTTTTTGGAGGTGGACTTTTAGGGAAGAATCAGGGATGTTAGCTTCCTTTTTCACTCACTATCTCAGCCCTCAGATCGATGGAGAGTGGTGCCTTAGCTAGGGAGAAGAGGGGTAGGATGGGCAAAACGGGAAAAAGAGGAGTTGTTTTGGCCTGTGAGTGGTGCGGTACGCCGAATTTGTTTTAACTTTTCTTTAAAGATAATCATTGTTCATCGTGAGGGTAGTTTGCTCCAAGAAGCTAGATTTGTGCTTCACAAGGGAGCTTCAGCTTGCTTTAGAATTCTCCTCATTCTCCTCATTTTTTCGTTGCTAGAATAATTTTCGTTAAAAGGTGCGGATGTTT